AGACCCGAAAAAAAATCGTTTCGTTCGATCGAGCGCGTATAATCGGGGCGCGCGGGGAGGGGCGGAGGGCGTGGGACCAAAAAACGAGAACGAACCGCGGCGTTGAAGCCCGGGATCCGATTAATTTCGAAGCGAGTCGTGTCGCATAAAATTACCCGATAAAAACCGCGCGCCTTTTCAATTTATCGAGTTCGGTGTCCGCCGGTGATCGCGCGGCGTGTCCCGATTAAATCCGGCGACCGGCTTCGGGTAAAAGGAACGAACGGGTCGAAATTGAAATTTCCATACGCGGCGCTGATAAATCGCGGCTCGAAGTCGAATCCCGCGCCGATATTTCCGACAGAAGCGTGTCGAATGTTCCGCAACTTTCTCGAACATTTTCGCGGCTGATCTGTGCCGAAATATTCATAATATTAATGTTAAATAATTTGTTTTTACTTAATAAATAGTTCAATGATAAGTTAAATAATAGTAAGTTAATAATAGTTAAAGAATAGTTTAATAATAATAAGTTTAATATTAATATTAAATATTATTCATTCACTCATTCATTCGTTCGTTCGTTTATTAATTAATTCATTCATTCATTTATTCATTTATTTATCTATTTATTTATTTATTCATTATATGGGTAAATAATCCATTAGTACACAAAATGGAAAGACGTCTTAAACATTTCCGCGAGCTCTGCAGAAAATTCGCCAATTTCAAAGCACTTCCGTCTTTCATAAATAATATTTTAACAAACGAACAATTAATTGAATTTAAATTTAAAAGAAATTGAATACAAGTCTTATTACCTTATGGCAACTGGCTCCTATTCTTTCATTGAATTTTTGCGGGTCTTAAAGTACGGCCTTCCGGGCTATAAGTAACACTCATCCTGCAATTAAGTCTCCAGCGATTCTAATTAGCGAGCTCTATTATAAACGCGTGTGATTGCGAGGACACGTGCATTACCCGGATGCACGCGCTGCATTCCCTTAATCCCGGACTACAACGGCTGAGCTCTCCGCGCGTCCAGCTTCTTTAATCTGCATACCGACTTCCGCTCCCGCCGCAATTAATCTCTTTCTGCCCTAGAAATCCTTCCTCCTATTTACCGCGGTCCCTGGCAGTTCACCACTTTTTCTGTATTTTCGGCATGTCCTGTCCTTTCCGTTCTCATTTTCTCCGGGGTCGAAACTCTTTGATACGGGACCGTGCTGACGTCGCTTCGCGATTCCGTAATAACGATTTCAGGGATCTTTTGTTGGGGAGGGAAAAAAAAAATCTTCCGCCTCGATACTTTCTCTCTGGAAAGGCATTCATAAGCGCTTTATACACGAGGAAAAGTTTATTCGTTCGCAACTCGGTGGTATAAGTGGGAAATGTTCAACTCGAAATCGCCTAAATGATTTTGTCTGTTATGTTATTTATATTTATATTATTTATATTATTCGTATTTATATTACTTACGTTTATATTATTTATGTTTATATTATTTATATTTATATATTAGATATATTTATACTATTTATATTTATATTATATACATTTACATTATTTATATTTATATTATATATATTTACACTATTTATATTTATATTATATATATTTATACTATTTATATTTATATTATTTAAATTTACATTATTCACTATTGGATTATCCATACTATATATTTAAAACCGAGGAAAACGGTATGCTGGTCTGATTAAGCACATACCTATACTACTCGTCAGATTTTGTCCTGTTCATTGCCTCACAATTTTCTGTAAAATCTAAACATTCTATTATCGAGCTGACTTTATTCTGCGGTTCTATAACAATCAATTCTACAATAAAAATATTCTCAGTTTGTATCTGCACTCACGTTTCTTTAGACCTGCAATTATGCTGCAAGCGTACAAAGTGCAACGAAAGTTCATTCATTCGTAACTCACTGCTATCATTTGCGAAAGAATAAAATTGACTCGGTCTGTCCGATCTAACGCAAACCAATACTACTGATTCGGCCAGAATACACAACGCTTGTCCGACCAATCGTGTGCTTATGCTACTCGTCCAATATTCTTGCACTAACTTAAATATAAAAAAACTTGAACGCGCGTTTTCAAAGCGCCATAAGTTTCCGCAACATGATCATTTCTAGCTAGATACCGAGCCGCGCTACAAACTCTGTCCAAACTGTGACATATTATCGTACCATCATCGTCTAATCGTGATCAGGTCGCGTTACGTGTCCGATCGAGCTTACAGATTACGAGCAGACAGAAAGGATAACGCGGAGAAGCCAGCGCGGCGGCCTTTATCATAATGTTGTCCGAAATTTTAATGCGCTCCACAGAACGGCTTTAAAATCATTTTAAATGCTGCCCGTGATACCAGCTGCTCCATATTCAACAGCATGGAAAAGCTTCTAAACAGTGAACACGGAACTCCTATTTATCATGGAGCTCATACTTCTTCTGTCAGCCAACAGTCGCTTCACCATAATAACTTACCGTGAAAATATCACCCTGGAAAGGCTGTGCTCCTTAAGCTCGGGGTTTAAAAATCATTACGAATGTACGGGGCGTGCGACCCGAGATGACGGTACAGGAAAGCCGAAAGGGCTCATTTTGGAAACAAAGTGTAATGCTCCCAACTGCGATTCCCACGAAACGCCGTTCTTTTTTCTTCGTTTGCAGAAATGTGATTTACGATCAGAGCTAAAAAAAATACTAATAGACTGCGGATTTTATGGACTTATGGTAGAAACGGGTGAACGAAACTGAAACCAGTGAAATGATTGAAAGGAATTAAGACTGATTAAAAGAGAAAAAAAGAGAGAAAATTATATTTGGCTTGTTCGTCTCGCAATCGACGGTAGCAATTTTTATTTCGCATAAAGATCCGCAGTCAACCATCAAGACGCGCATAAAATAGTGACTGAAAACCAACGAGATCCAAAATTGTGTCCTCTGTCCCTTAAAATCGTTACTGGAATGCCCTGATCGAACATCAAGGACCCGATTCTGAAAACGCTCATCTACAATAAAAGCTCCGTTTACTTCATCTATTCACGAAAGCTTCCCATTCCCATCATAGCAACCCAAGGATACATCTATCAATGATCAAAGTCAGCCTTCTCGAAAAGACTCAGTGATCTGCATGAGCATACCCAGACCCATCCTCTATCACGAAAACCATCAAAAGTGCACCTCTGCCCAAGCATCAAAGCCCTCAAAAAAGCATCGTCTCCTTAAAAAGAGCATCTCCATCAAAAGCTTCGGCTGCCTCGTCAACTCGGATCCACTAAACAGCATCAAAAGTAGTATCTCCATCGTCAGAACAGCATCCAAGGACCAGATCCAAGCCTAAGACCCAGATACAAGCCCAAAAGACCCAGATCCAGGCCCAAGAGACCCAGATCCAAGCACAAGAGACCCATATCGATGCCCAAGTGACCAAGATTCAAACCCAAAGACCAGATGTAAGCCCAAAAGATCCAGATCCAAGTCCAAGAGACCCAGATCCAAGTCCAAGAGACCCAGATCCAAGCTCAAGAGACTCAGATCCAAGCCCAAGGGACCCAGATCCAAGCCCAAGAGACCCAGATCCAAGCCCAAGAGACCCAGATCCAAGCCCAAGAGACCCAGATCCAAGCCCAAGAGACCCAGATCCAAGCCCAAGCGACCCA